CCAAAATCGTCACACAAAGTGGAACCGCTCTTGTCCGCAAGAAACAGCGTCCACCCCACGTTGGAGTAGTCGTCCACCACCATCATGCAGTATCGAGCTCCACCAGTGGACGGCGGATACGGGCCGGTCAGATCGATGAAGACACGCCCAAACGGCCTCCCCGCCTTGGCTTTCGTCTCCTTCGGAACGCTGCGTAGAATCGCCTTCGCCTCACCGCAGCCAGCGCAGTATCCCCGGGTACCGGTCACCTGAATTCCCAGCTGCTTCGCGGTCTCCCGTGCATTCGCGTCGTAAGTGTGGCCAAGAGAAACATGCAGGTCGTTGATGTTGATACTCCTGGGCCGCCCAGGCCGCACCGCCGCCGCCACCATCGCAGGTGGGGAGGCGCCATGTGCGATCCGAGTAGCCTGAACGTAGTTACCGGTGGGGAGCTTCGAAAAATGCACGCGATCGTTGAGAATCCAAGTGCCAGCGCTATTCATGAGGAGGTCGTGGGTCTCCTGAACGACGTTGAGGGAGGCGAGGTCAAACGCAAGATCGGGCACGACCGCTATGTCCTTCAGCATCACCACCACATCTTCCCTGCAGTGGAACACCACATCAAGCGAGCCAAAACACTCCACCTTCAACTTGCGACCGTCACCGATGAACAGGAAAGTCTCCTCGGCGAGGGGAGGGCGAGTGTCGTAGTCGTGAGCGCCGTCGCTAGTCGCGTGCACGGTAGACGCGCTATCACCAATCCACACAGAGAGTCGATCCAGGACGGCGACGCGGAAAAATCGAGGACAGCATGTCGCAGGTAGAGAGAGCACTCAGGGCAAACTGTAGGGCAAAGAAATGCCCCCCAAGATGATACGGTGCACCACCAGTTGGCCCCGAGCCTCCAAAGGTGCAATGGAGCAATCCGCCGTCTGCCCCCTCCCCCGGTACCTTCACCACCCCCCGTGGCCGCAAGGTCCTCAAACTCGCCGCCGCTCTCATGCTGCACTCCAACAAACGGCTGTACTCCACCATTGCTCCATCCGGTCCCCCCCACTCCACTAACACCATATTGCTGCTGCTGCTGCGGCGGTGGCGGCTGCTGCTGCTCCAGCTGCTGATGAGGTGACCACTGCTGCTGCTGGGGCTGTTGCGGCTGGGGGGGTGTAGGGTGTGAAGCATATTGCGCAGCGTTGTGTGTAACGGCACCGGTGAAGGTCCCGTACATCGAACCATCGTCCGGCGGCCCCCACGTCACACCACTGCCGTCTGATACTACAACACCACCGCCGTCGTGCTGATGGTACACCACCGACTTGCCACCGACGCTGGGAGTCTGCCCGGCAGTGACGACGTTGACGTGTGGGGGCATACGAGGAAGACCGACGACTGTTGAACACACACGACGCACATGACCGTACTCACCGCACGCGGAGCAGGCACCCTCAAATCGCCGCGGCGCATTGCACATGCTCAAGGTATGCCCGCTACGCCCGCACCTCTCACAGCGGTGAACAGCGCCCATCGGAGCGCCTGCTGGCGGAGACGACTCCTCCTGCCGGTACACGGCGTTGCGTCCACAGTCGAAGAGACCCCCAGTACCCCCATGTCGGGTAATTCGGAGGCGGATGATGCGGGGGCGGGGGTTGCGGTCTGGCATGTTGTCCCAGCTGCTGACGCGACCCCGGCAGCTGCTGTTGATACTGCTGTTGTGCCTGGTTGATCGGTTGCACGCCGAAGTGTTGTTGCTGCTGGGTCGCTGTCCACCGCCCGGTATTGTGCTGCTGTCCACGCCCGCCACTAGAAAAACCACCGCCCCTCCGAGAACCGCCACCGATGCCACTGCCGCCGCCGCCGCCCGCCGCCGCCGCCGCCCGGTGCCGCCGCCGCCGCTGCCGCCGCCGCCGCCGCCGCGGCCGTCACCGCCGGACCGAAAACCACTAACAGCACGCGCGTGGGGATCGTGGTTCGGCTGCACCGACGTCGCCGAAGACACCTTCACCTTCTCCAGCTGCTTGGCAACAATGTTAGCGTACGCCTTGCGAAGAATGCTTTCAACCCCCGCACGCGAAATGTCGGAATCGGATAGGGTGGTCTTGCGTTCGACATCGTAATCAGACGACAGTTGGCGGACAATTGTTTGTACAACGTGCCGCTCAGATTTTTCGATGCCGACTGCGCGCATCGTGTTGACGATACCGTCGACTCTGGCGAAGAAGAGCTTCGTGTTTTCACCAAGGGACATCTCCACAGTCTCCAACTGCCGCTCAAGCAGTCTCTTTTCGGCGTCAGTAGTGGGCAAAGACCACTCACGGATAGCGGTCCATGCCTCTGGCACGCAGCTACACGCAAACAACGTTTCTTCAATGTCTGAACCGCTGGTCGACTCCACGAGGTACCCCCACGCCCGCAAGTGTGCTGTCACCAGCGGCGCTCCATGAATGCGGTTGAGGTAGTTTTGGTCCGGACATCCGATGATATGAACGTAGTAGGCTGTGTGTGATCGAGGGTTTGTTCCAGACCTTCTACAGCGAGGAAAGTCCGCATCCTCCGTGACCAGCTCATAAACTTCCCCGGCTCGTTGGGGTGCTTCGGCGGGTTTCGAGTGCCAAAACGACCGCTCATCAACTGGCTGCCGCTGTCGGCCATGTTCACCGTTTGATGCCCGGGTCCTAATCCACCAGAGGGCCCTGTGCGCGCCGCATCTGCAGCTGCACGTGCCACATCTGCAGCCGTAGTCGCTTCCTTCTTCCACTCTTCCTCCACCTCTTTGTGGGCCTGCTTCATCTTTGCTATCTCCGCTTTTGCCTCAGCCAGACCCATTCCAACTCCTTCTGCTTCTTGTCTTTCTCCTCGCCTTCCATGTCTAAACTTAAATTGCTTCTTGTTCTAATAGCTGGATCTCCTTGGCACGCGCGGGCAAAAACCGCCCTGCTGCTGCTGCCCTTGTATTCCAAACCCTGTTCCCTGGATCTCCTTGACGAGCGCGAGCAAAACCCCCCCTGCTGCTGTCCTTCTCTTCCGGTGCCTACCTCCCGAACCTTTCCCTACCGACGTCAGCTGACTCGACGATATCGTGTTTGGGGTGTCGGCGCGTGTACTATGTTATCACGCTCGCGGGCTCTTGTCGAGAGCGTGTTGCACAAAGGAGTGACTCAAGTTCCTTGGTTATTAGAGAGAAACAGACGTGAGCAAGAAGAGGCAAAGCCTGCTGCACGAAGTCTGTCTATCATATCCATATCTATCTCATCTGCGTAACCCCCTCGGAGATCTCGGGGACTTGTATCCTGCCGAGTACACACACAAACATCGTCGCACCCGTGTGAACTCGAGAGATTTCATCGCCACACAGTTATTGTGTCCGCAGATAGTTCAGGCCAACCCCGGTCCGTGCCCTAGAGGTGTCAGAAGGGCATATTCTACACGTTAAACTAACCAACCCATATCAAACCTAAAACATGCCACCACACATATACCGTTGGTGTGTATGAGATGTGACTCACGTTTGATCTGTCACCTGGAAGGGCTTCGAGAAGCAACTCTTCGCACAACATCTTGGAATCGGAGTCCAAGTTTTGCGCTAGTAGCGCCAGAACGACCTCCGCTCGCCCGAGTCGCGCGCAACTCCTGATAAGAAGCAGGCGTTCCCTCGATGAACCGTTCTTCGTTTTCCACACGACGGTAGTCCTCGCTAGATTGGAGTTGTCACGAAGTGCAGCTCTCACTTCTTCGAGCTCGCCGCTGGTAATACTCTACACAAGAAAGCGCATGCGTGGTAGGCAAGACGTGAGATTCATATACCGACCCGTGTCTGTTGCTCTGCCGAGTTGCACAAAATAGTATTGGTACGTACGGAGAGTCACGGGGGTTTACCTCGGCTGTTCCTTCGTAGGTGATTGCTTGGATATTTTGTTGTCGGCGTGGGTTATTAACATTGAATTTAGTGTAGAACAAATTTGTAGTGCAATGTAGTTACAGCTGTGGTGGCCCCTCAATACCACTTGGAGTACCATGTGCCCGGCGAATCGACGAATCGACCGCCGCTCGCTATCCAAAGGACCGGCGCTTTCAAAGTACAGAATGACTTAGTGATTCAGTCTGTGCCCAGCAATTTCACCGGCGCTTTGTATACTGGGCCACCGGCGGTATTCAACCGGCGTCATTGAGGCCCCCCACTGCTGTACGTCATGAAAGAAACACCTACGAAGAACATAGCCTAGCCACACAACCAATAATTCCGCCGCACAAAAGCCCTGTGATACAGAAGAAGACGTGCAAAAAAAGTCGGAGAGCACACGGGTAGTGCACGCACCCGCCACCTAGATATAAACATATAGGGACAAGCACAAGGAACCGTTTCTCACTTCCGTTTCGGGGAAGCAGCAGCGTTCCTGGAATTCCTCCCACGACTCCACCGCAAGCCCTTCAAGCTCCTGCGACGTCGGCGCCCGCGACGCCTGCTGCGTGTTCTGCAATTCACACCCGAGAGCGATGGAAAGGGCTCTCACATCCATGGCCATCAACGCTGGACAAACGCCCAGAGAGATTATGGGTTACGTGTGCCCGCGTTGCGGGGGGCTGGGTCGGGGGGCTATGTATAAAAGGTGAAGGAAGTAACCCCACGCGGGTGTTGTCGTGTGTTGCCACATAGTGACGGTTTCGCTTTGAAGAGGTACGGTTTCGTGTCCCCCATCCCCCCCCCCACCCGTGGCCAATTTCCTCATCAAGGTTTCTAACCGTTAGCAGGGCGAATGCAGGGCGCGTATTTGCTATATTGAGGTGCACACCAAAGCTCAAACAGGTAGCTACTGCTGGTTCACAGACAACCATCTGCCTCACGCTAACGGGTGTGTGTGCTTGTGGATATATACGGAGAGCGTGGAGCAGGGCTCGTGTGGAAGAGCTTTTGGAGCGAGCGAGCGAAATATTCTGCCCTGTGGAAAAGGGAAAAGGGTTTGCGAGCCAGAGGGATTGGGAGGGCATCAAACAGCTTTGGAGGGAAAAGAGAAAGCCGCACGATCATGGACGCAATTCTCGGCTTGCTTGGGATATGTGGGGCAAACTGTGCGGAGGATCGTGATGCAGACAGCAAGGGACGCACGGAAGGAGTGGTGAGTTGTTGCTGACTTCTACCCTTCAAGGTGCTTTTCGTGTCAAAGTGGGTCACAGCAGCAGTCCGAGTCTTCACACTTTCCATGCATGATGCTGCGTTGCAGAATGTGTGCATATGTAAATAGCGAGTCCAGCCACTGCAGTTGGATGAAGCGGGGGGACGTCGCGAGCCCCTCGTAGCGGCGTGCGATGCACCAAAGATGTATGCTGCAAACTGGGAGAAATGCGTGCGTGAGCGTGTTTCAATTGCAACGTCGACTGCTGCCTGTGTGTGCGGGATGACATCTCCAACAGCTACATTGTACCTGCATTGTTGCCTGCTCCAGAAAACAAAGAGGTTCAACGGGATCTGTATACAACACGCAAGCGGGAAAAACGCACAGGGTCCCCCATGCTGTGAGGCTGGTCCGCACCATCCCATAGCTCCCACACGATATCCTCCTCGTTGCGCCTGTCAGGGCGCGGGGCAGTCTGTCCCCCGTCTGCTTTCTCCAAGTCGTCGGTTGAAAAATTTTTCGAAGACGACAAGGGTGCGGAGCGCGCAAGAAAAAACAGGGAAAAAAAAACGAAGGGAGATTGGTATTCAGACGGGAGAACTCTTGGGCGCTGCCTCTTTGTGTGCGTGGCCGTTCAACAGGGGGAAACAGGGGTAGGCTAGATGACGATACCACCAGCAGGCAGATAATCCATCGACCTCGTGGGCACATACAACATTCCGCACGACCAGGGAGCGGCCTTTTCCCCCCCGGCGACGACATATTTCATCTTTTGCCGGTGCTGCACCTGTGGGTTTGTTTGTCGGCAGCCCCAGCCCGAGTCCGCCGCACCGGCCGGCGGGGACGTGGTCTTGAACGATGAAGAATCGCAGTTTCGTCTTGTCCTCTGCCGTCGCTTTCAACGATTGTTGCTCTCTTTTTTTATGGATAACATCAGCAAGCATCCCCACATGGATCCCCTAGAACACACCCACAAGTATTCCTATTTTCTACCCCCGCCGTGTTGGTGTTGGTGCGATTTGTTCCGGGATCGCATCACCATTGTTCCAGAGCAAGAGCAAACCGCCGGCGGTACAACGACTATAATTTAGGACAAACGACGTTGCCATGTGCCGGCAGTCTCATTTAGAACGAACGCCAAAGAAGTGGGACATCGGCTGCTTCCGTGTGTCTGCCCCACCCCATTTTTTTTTCTGGGCAAACCAATGAAACTCTCTCTCGCTCTCTGTTGCTCTTGTGTAAATTCTGAAAATGAGCTCGTTACGGCAGTACGGCTGCTGTTTTACAAGCAAGGGCTGCTGCTGGACCGATGAATGTCGTATGTACAAACCGCGAGAGCCAGAAGGGCAAATTATGTTCGAATTCATCATACTAGATTGCCGATGGTGCCGTGTGTCTATACATACCTTTTCCGCTTGGAATTATTAATAGAAATTGACAACCGAGGTGTATTACTGCGGTTGTTGTTGTTGTTCTTGTCTTCACATTAAAAAAACAACAGCAGTATCTCAGATGAATCAGGTGTGTATGTACCTACATACCGTATCAATCAACATGGGTTGTGCTGTTTTATGTTGTAGCATATGGTGTCGCAACTGCCCTTGACATTAGCTGGGGGGCACTGATGACCGCTGTGCTATGCATAGATGCTGCTACTGTTTGTGAATGTTTGTGTGTGTGTTCCAGCTCTCCTCTCTCTCTGTGTATCGCCGACTTTCCTGATATACGCGGTGCAGCAGCAGTATTTAGTGCTTCACGGCTCTCAATTATTTGCAGTTTTGTACCAAAGCCCTTCCTTGAACCTGGTGCGCATCGCCCCGCCCCGTCCCGGTTGAAGTTACAGCCGTATTTTTGTATTTTTCCTTTTCCCGTCCTCGCGTGCTCGCGCCGGCACTCAGCCCCAGCGTGAACTCGCTGCGATGCTATGATACGCAGTGGGATAGTGGCTCTTGCCTGAAGAGCCAGCGAGGGACAGGCCATTAGTGTAGGAAGCACACTCGTGCTGAATTTGATGGCTTCATGATACTTCGGGGGAAAGTAAATATAATACTTAGTACAGCAGTGTACGGAGGCCAAGGAATAGCCAGGAAGAACACTCGTATTCTGATCCTACTTCCTACTGGTAGTAGTTTATAACATTCCATACTTGTACATACATTTGCAAACAGCATTTAACCCGGCCGCGAGCCACACGATGAACGGCCACGAAGGGCAGACAAACACACAGAAACACACTCGTTTTTTCTGATTCTGGAGTGTACAAAAACGCACACAACAGCAGTCCACACGGCCTTGCCACACGCGTTGTCCGTGATCATTCTTCTCGGACGTTCTATTTGTTTTAGAAAGTAGACGTAACCTCACAGAAAGACTACCCGTTCGAGATATAACCTGGTAGGTCGAAAGGGATGTGGTGAAGTATTTTTCGTAAGTGGATTGAAAGCGACTTGTTACTTCAATACGCACGAATGACAGGAGCAGGCCTTGGAAGATGACCCGTCCACCAGGGCTCGGCGCGTGTACCACATGGGCAACCTCCTCCAGAAGAGGGGGGAGGTGAAGGAGGCCGCCAAGATGTACCGCAGCGCGGTCAAACTCGACCCCGCGCACAAGGCGTCTCACTACAACCTCGGTGGGTGTCTTACGTACTGCTGTACGCCAGCGGGGCAGGTTTTTTTCGAGGAAGAAGGTGTTTTTCGAGGAAGAAAAAAACATGTGGGATAAAGCATGCATTCGGGAAAGTTGGGTGAGGGTTAGGGATGGTCTGCGTACCCCGGCCCCGCCCTATATCCTCGTATCTTATTTCTCATAAACTTATCTAGTTTCTCGCGAAGGCCGTCTATAGAAGCCGAAATCAAACAATTACTGACGCTGACTAGTGGAATGGTTTGATTTCGGCTTCTACAGGTCCCTGTAGAAGTACGTGGGGAGGGGCGTGAGGCCGCAGCATCTCTATTAGACTGCAACGGTTGTGCTGTACTTTGTTGGTTGGTTTGGGGGCGACATTGTTGTTATTTGCCGCCCTTGCAATGGTTTCGATCCATGAAACTCGAACCCGCACTGCTTTCGCCTTACACCGTGCCTTTGCGAATGGGAATCAGGGTGGGTCTTGTCGCCAGGAGCACTCGGAATCGAAATCAAATTATAGTTCGATTCTCAAGTTTTGGTTTTCGAGTTGGCCCTAGTCATGACACCGGAAACATTTTAGAAAATTCACGAAGTTTGTACAAATCCGAGTTGGTTTGGTCGCCCCAAGCATGCATTGCGGTTTTTGATATGCCCCTGAGGAGAAGGAAAGTAGATAACGCGTAAAAGGAGGAAGGTCCTGGAGGAGACAGTAGCGAGGGGCATGGTACGTGACAGGAGCGAGCTGCGCGTCAGCGCTAGCTGGCAGACCAGCGGAAGGAAGGCTGTGACTCGTGCACGAAGGTAAGCCATATACATCAGTAGATATTAGTGGCATCTCTTGTTTATTCTCGTGTGAGGAGACGTTGACGCATCTAGGCATTCTCTCCTCCTCTGCCCAACCAGGAATCGCACTTCAAGAGCTGGGCGAGCTGGATGAGGCTGCCTCTTGCTATGAGAAGGCCATCGCGCTGGCACCGGACTACGTTCTGGCTCACTACAACCTCGCCTACGTCAGACAAGACCAGGTGTGTATGCGTGTGTGTTGGTGAGTAGTATCCACCGCGCTAACTATTTAGCCTACTACAGATGAACAGATTCCAGTCTTTGGGGTGGAATATAAAAACGCGAAAAAAATGCGTTTTTCTAGTCTGCGGGCTCCCCATCGATATAGGCCGGCCACGCGGGGGGGGGGGGGAGTTGGACGATCAGATCCGGTTTCTCTCCGCATCAAGAGTATACTCCACCTTTGTGTTATTCTCGTCGTCGTTGTCGTTGCTGCTGATGATTTTTGATTTGGTTTGTCTTGACCTTTCATCTGAGGTAAAAGGTTTTCTGTCTGCCTCCCGCCTCCTTCCGTCAATCCGGGGCACGCGCCCATCCCCATCCCGTACTATTATTATAGTCGATCCGTGCGTTTTCGGGCATTCATGTACACGTACTGCACCAGTTGTCGCGCGCTGTCTGCGCGTACTGCGCCAGTTGCGTGAAAAAGTGAAAAAATCCACTGCAGTTAGTCATGGGTCTTGGGGACTGCGTTGCCGTTAGACGGAAGCCCGGACCGTTCTTTGATTTGCATACATTCACACTAGCGGGGTTGTGTGTATCGTTTATTGGTTGTCGATAGATAGGCTTTGCTGGTGGTGGTACTTCGTTCGTTCCGCCTTCGCGCGCACGTCTTTGTTTTCTTTCCTCGGACAATTCCACCGGAAAATCCGATCCGATTGGCGATGTTTTGGTTTGGCCACTGCTGAGAAAACACCCCTGTGCTGTGCGTGCATGCTCCCGTCGGTACTCACCCGATGATCGTGCAGGGGAGGCTGATCGAAGCCGCGCAGCACTTCCGCGTCGCGGCGGACCTGGACCCGAGCGACGTGGACATTCACATCAGCCTTGGCAATGTGCTCAGACAGGACGGGGAATCGGCCGCGGCGATAGCGTGAGCGCCGGGTTTATTTCATTGTGTCCCTTTTTGAGGAGTTTGTAAGACCTTATTTTTCGGTATTTTGGAGTGCATTTGTTGTCCAAACTGTCACGCATCGATGGAGGGCTTTTATGTAGTATGGGGGGCGTCTGCACTGCTGTATTGAGCAGTCGAATGCGTTCTGCAAGAGTCCCTTCGAGAATCTGCAGTCGAGATATAGATGCATATGAAAAAGAAAAGTGATACATTATTCGAGAAGTGTTGTCGTGTTGATTCCCTTGCCCGAAAAAAAAAGCCTCCGCAGGCAGCATGTTGTACGTGGCGTGGTCTGCTGAAACACACTGGTACCATGTATTTACAACACTCATTTTGTGGCGATTCTTTACACTACGGTAACATGACACATGGCGACCCGTTTGTCCTCTCTCGCTGTACTGCTGCCGTTGCACATTATTGCGTCATCATCTTCGTACCACCTTGCCGGGCGCAGGGCGTACGAGGAAGCTATGCAGCTCGACAGCACCAACCGGATGGCGGCTTACAACCTGGTAAGGATTACAACCGCGGATAACATATTCGAAAAGCGGGGTCGCCGGCGGAGTACGACTTGGCCCGCCCTCTATGAGTGGCTGGCGGTCAATCAGCTGAAGCGCAACGATGCTGTACTTTTTCATCGGAGATATTGGCGGCGATTCATTGTTAGAAATTTTTCTCGAGAATGACACAGATGTGGTTCCTCCCGTGTTGTTCTTGTCTTTGGCTTCCTGCATCTCTTGCTTGTGTGTGCGTTAGCTTGCTTTGGTGTTTTGTTGCACATGGCACAAGAAGGTGGTTACCCCTCCGCTCTTTGTTTCTCTTCTGGTAATATTTGTTGCGACGAAAACCATTTGATGTTGGCCGTTTGTGCTCTCTCTTTGTTTCGTTGTGGGTGTGCGTTTTTTTTTTTTTGTCAGTATGACCCAACGAATCCATTTCCATCTATAGAAAAGAGTCTGAAGATAGATTAGCAATGGATCCATAACGTCAGCGAAAGTTATATTTTTCCACGATTTCCTCGCGTGTCTTATGTACTTATGTGCTTGCAGGGAGGAATCTTGCAGGACAACTTCGAGGAGGAGAAGGCGATCGAGTGCTTCAACCGCACCATCCAGATCGACCCGGATTACGCCGATGCTCACTACAAGTGAGTCCCTCCCTCCCTCCCTCCCTCCCTCGTGCCGTCCGTCGTACACATCGCAAAACTATCTTGTTGTTCGTCAAAAGTTTGTACAAGACACTCTCGTCTCTCGTTCGCTGTATCAGTCAGTCGAGTTCTTGTGTTTCATTTTTGGCTAGATTGCGGAAGAAAACTATAGCTAAAAATTGGGTTCCCCGGTGCATCGATTCCGTGCTGGGTCACCGGAAATGTTTTCCGCATGTTTGACGTTCCTCCCTGCGCGGCTGCGGGTTTGGGAGTTTGTTTGTGTCTTCAGCTATTCGCTCTTTGGCCTCGATTATGTATTTCACCCTCCTCTTCTCCCGTCTAATCTGGCTCCCTTGCTCTAAACCATGCCGCGTAACCCCGCACCCCCATGTTCTCACACCCACACACACCCCTCCCCCCCGCTCGATACCGATTGTGTTTTTGTCGACCTTTTCGAACAACGAACCCTATCGGTAACGCGTGTACGTGGACTCGGGCTTTTACCCTTTCGGCCTTCGGGCGGCGTGTGGCCTATGCTGCCAATCAGCCTGGGGATATGCCTGGAGACAGTGTGCCGTTTCGAGGTGGGTTAGGGTGTTCGGCCGCGCCATCAGCAACATCTTAGTTGAAAATACACATGTCGAAGCCCTTCTCATAACCGTGTGCTATTCTTTTTGCGGTTGGGCGGTAATCCTAGCTGCAAAGACAACCGCTCAGGCCGACGTGAACATTTGACGTTCCGCCTTACGACTTATTTTGGAGGACTATGTTTTCGTAAAGAGCATTGCCGCTGAAGCGCGACTTGTCTTTGTCTCGGGCAGGGCGAACGCAACAGCGTGTTCGGGGGCATCAAGCCCGGTGCGTCCCACCTTCGACCATCGGACAGCCGTGCATTCACCAAGTTTGTTTATCGTTAAGACCAACGCGTACTCAAATCAAGGTTCACGTCGTTTCATTGGTCAGCCGGTTAGCGCGGTCGACGCTTGTCACAGAAGACAACACACATACACACACACAAGAATGGCGTCTTTCTATTGGTCAGCCGGTTGGCACGGTTGGCGCTAATGAAACACGCACACGCGGACACGCACGCACGCACGAAACAGGAGGCGCTCATCGCATACTCAGAAGCGCAGCGGCTGGACCCATCCACCGACGAGGCGGCGGAGCAGGCGGAGCGGGTGAGGGGCTTGATCGCCGCACAGGCGGCGGGAGCGGGAGAGGCGGCTCTGCCACCGCCGTCCGTCTTCGCGGGGTCCGTCCCGAGCACGCTCCCGCTCGTCGCCGAGGAGGAGGACGAGGCGGTCCTTGCCGCGGCCGCGGCGGCGGCGGCAGCTGCGCGGGCGCAGGCGGACTCCAAGGAGAGACTGGCCCAGAAGGCGGCGAAGGCGGCGGAGCAGGCAACGAAGGCGGCGGCGGCGGCCACCGCCGCCGCCGAGAGCGCGGCGTCGCTGATCTCGCCGGCGAGCAAGGCGGCCGCCGGGCTGAGCGTGGTCCCGACGGCGCTGGCGCTGGGCGGCGGCGAGGACGGGGGCGTCGGCGGGGGGGAGGAGGAGGACGTGCTGGGAGAGGCGCAGCCGCCGACGGTCTGGACGAACGGGCGGAAGGCGGCGGAGCGCGACAGCGACAGCATGTCGGACCTGGGTGCCCAGCACGAGTTGCTCCTGCCCGTGGGTCTCAGGTGAGCGCCGAGGCGGCGCGCGCGGCCTTGTTGGCGCGACCGAGAGATGGCAGTTTGTGCCGAGAGCCTACACGCACACGATAGCCTGGAGCGCACGCACGCACCACCATGCTGTTACTTTTCGTTGGACAGGAGGAGGAGGAGGAGGAGGAGAAGTGACGTGATACGTTATGGATGTGTTTTTTTTTTTCTGTACTGATGGGATGTGTCGTGGTGTCGTCACATCGGTGGCAGTGGTAGCACGTTGGAAGCGGGTTCTTGTTTTCTTTGTCGTACAAGTATTGTGGTATGGATCGAGTATTGTGGGTTACCTCTGCCGTCACGGCAGTGTGTAGTAGGCATATGGACACACTACACACACAGACACACACAGATTTGGTGCGTTGTAAACGCACCGACCCAGGAGAAGTGGTCGGTGGTGTTTTGTCTCTCGTACAGATGTGAAGACAATAACGACAAGAACAACAACAGATGCCTGTTTTTTGGGGGGGGGCTGGCGACAACAGACCTCTAGTTTTGCGAAGAAACAGCTGGAAATGTTGTGACTTTTTTTTTTCCATCCTACGAACGACTCTTGCGGCTGGCTTTACCCCGCCGTCCCGTCTTTCTCTCTCGATCCCGCGTGGCATATTTCGTTTCCAATTCCACCCTGCTCATGAGAGATGCCAAGTCTTGGGCGGGCGGTTACCCTATTCAATCAAACCCCTGCTTACCAAACCAACGGCCAATCAATCTGTGTAGCGGACCCAAAATTGACAAAAGACTAAATAAGTAGTGCTGTCCCGCCCTCGTCACACAGGAGGTCCTCCGGACAATGAACGGTCTGTAAGACGCGCCGAGGAGGACGTCGACGGTGGGCTGGTCGAGTTCCGCGAGCAACGCGACGGCACGGGACGCGCACTCAATCTATTGGCGGGGAGGGTTTATTGACGGGGACGATTGGTTGATGATTCACAAGAGACGCCGCCGGCCGGGCTGGATGGCTGGCTGGCGGGAGAGCCGGAGCGACAGTCTGGCTCGGTTGCGGGCGAGGATGGAGGAACGGTCTTTTTGCAGGGGGGTCGACAGGACACGCAGGCGGGGGGGCGGGGGTGGCCGGCCGAAGCCAAGAGCCACGCGTTTGGGTGTGGGGTTGGGCACTTTCTTAGGGAGTGTGCACCCGGGAAGAAGAGTACGTGGCGGAAGAGGGAGGAGGGGGGGATAATTGTTGGTGCCGACGGGGGCGGCAGAAGCAGGGGGCATTCGGTATCATACTTGGAACCGACCATCTAGAGTTTTGTGGGTGCGCGGGCGACCGTTGTAGAGCCAGGCAGGATATGCAGACAATCCACTCCTGTGTGTTTTGAGTTTGTGTTCAATCCTGGCGCCGGGGGCAAAGGGGGGCACACGGCTAGTAGTTGCTAGCCCCCCCTCCCCCATTTCCTGCGGGTAATGTCTTGTATCAAGAGTATGTTGTCTCGCCTCGTCCTTGCTGGGTGGTGGACCACCAATTGCTTTTCGGTCATTGCATGTTATATACATCTCTTCCTGTCTCATGTGTTCCTGACGCCACTGGCCGGTCGTCTGTTGATCTCTTCGTTGCCATGCAAGCACCCGAGGTTGTCGTTCTCATTAGTGCCTACCTCTGCGTCGGCATCGCGCGGGTCGATTTTGTTGTTGAGTAGGAGTGGAAGCCGTAGAGGGGGGCAAGGCTGACTAGCTCGAGAGGGGTAACACGCAGCGCAGCGCCGCGGAGCTCGAGCAGGGTCGTTTGCGACTCTCCGGCTGGGCTTGATTGGGCTTCCAGGCCTGGGGCATAGTCAAACCTTAGCCGAGCCTTGGCGGGCTATGCTGTCTCTCTTCTTCACACGCTTCACGCCTTGTTTGAAAGCACCACCGTCCTGGCCCGTTTACCTGCTGCAGGCCGTGCTCATGCGGCACAGCAGTAGTAGTGGACAGGCCTGTTCGAGTACAGCAGCAGCCGTAGTATACCTTGCAGGAAAGTCGTGGCGGATGTGAACGAGGCGCTAGGGTGTTCGGAGACACGAAGGCGTGATGGGGGGAGCGGTAGCATGTGAACACGTATGCATACAAGTACCTGGATTTTGATGGAGCGACTTTTCAGAAAGAGAGGTGCATCTTGCGTGATGAGAATCTACCATCGCGTAAGAAGTTATTGTTCCTAGACAAAAAATTAGGGAGGGGGGAGGGGGGGGGTGGGGGGGGCGCACGGATAGGTTGGGGGGGTAGGTGATGCCTAGGGTTCTGTGTATCTACTTTGTTGCGCTGTAGCGTAATGTGCCGGGTGGCACAGCAGTTGGTGCATGCGAAGCACAAGCCGAACTCGAACCATTCCCTGGTGTAGATGGAGTGCTTTCCTTCGTTTCTTTGCTCGGTTTGGTCTTTTCGGATGGGCGCGCTTGTGTGTGTGCCGTTGCCAATTGTTTGTTCTCGGCCCACGGGAACATACCATACCATGTAGATTTGATGGTTGTGTTGTCGAGTTCGGGTTTTTTGTTCTGTTTTTCGCGGGGGTTTTACTTCACGCGGACGGGGGTTCTGCCTTCCTTTTTTTTTTCGCAAATGCCATTCCTACCAGTTACCCCCCCCCCCCTCCCCCCAATATAGACGGAGGCTTTCAGGATTGTTTTGTTTTGTTTACGGCCGGTCAGTTATTGGTTGCGGACCAGCCGGTAGGATTGTGTGTGTGTGTGCGTGCGCGTGTGTGTGTATGTTTTGTCTTTTGTAGTTGTCTGGAAGCGGCGAAGAGAGATTTGCTGCGTTTTGATTTTTTTTTTTGTGGGTGCGCCTGCGTGTGGGTGCGCCTGCGTCTTTTTTTTTGGTGGGTGTCGTTTTCTCTTCCCGCGGTCACCAAGGCGAGGACACGGGAGGAAATGCGGTTCCATGGTACGGTTCGGTACAGAGTCGTTTCCTTGGTACGGTACGGTACGGTTTGCCGGTAGAGGGCAGGGTGGGCACTACATGCAAGCATTGACCAAGGCTGGGTGCGTTAGGTACTAGGCTGGGTGGTTTGTGTCGTGTAGCTCGGCCGATCGCGGTTGAATGGAGCCCTCCGCGCGGAGCGTACGTACCTACATGCTGTTATTTTTTGTGATGCCTCCGCCTTCTCTTTGTCGGTTAGTTCGTGTTTTCACCCCTCGATTTTATGATTCGTTTTTCCTGATTCCATGGTGGTTTCGAGTTGAATCGAAGCAAGAGCGCGGCCACGGCCTTTGTCTGCCTGCTGTCTTTATCCGGTTTGTCTGTATAGTGCGGTCTGCGCCCGCGGCCGGATACACAAGGGTGTTGGCTGGATCGCTCTCAGGGCGAATAGTATTGTTTTGCGACGTTGGCTGTCGCCTGCCTTACACCGCGTAGAGTAAATCTCTTTCTGGTTGCTCCCTTCGCAAGGGGAGAGGTATTATTTTGGGATCTTGAGGTCATTATAAAATTCAACCAAAGCAAAGACCTAAAGACCTACAATAGGTCATTTGTTGTTTTCACACATTATAAACCGTTCCGGTCTCCTCCGCTCAGTACCTTCTAATGTGGGTACTGGTCCAGCTGAAGCAGACGCCTTCCGTGGTCACAAGCCAACTGCCCCACCAAAGGGGGGGTACACCATGGGAGTGGTGAATTTTTCTTTCTTCGAGCAGATGGAGTTTCTTCCTTACTGAATTATTGAATTTCGATCAACCTCGACTTCCGGCGAGCGAACAGTGAACGCCTACATAGAATGCGGTAGACCCACCCGTGCAAGCTTCGCGCTTACATACACCAGGGCGGTGCACGCTCGGCACGGCACGGATGGATGGATTTTCATTTAGTGTACCACTTCTATTTTCGACTGATTTGGCATATTTTTTCGGTTCACCGCACGCGGACGGATGGGCAGAAAAAGAAAAATGTTACCATGTTTTCCCTCGCGTAGGCCGGTACGACAAGAAAAACGGTTGCGACCGGTGTGCCACTTTTCTTCGTCACCCTTTTGACTTAATTCTGAAGAGAAGAAGAGACAACCAGGCGGGCTTCACACTCTGGGCTGGGCTAACTAACCCCTTCATTTACGTATATCTAAGAATACACCTGCTGTGAGCGCCCCCCGGAAGGGCGCGACGGAAAGGCCGCCGGAAATACTTCTTTGTCGGGGATGACACCACGATTTTGAGTGTTTCTCATCATCCTCATCCCTCGCAGTGCCCTACATGTATGTATGTATGTACCTCAAGGTAAAACCGTCGCTTCTTCTTCCGCCTTCCCTACTTCGGGGGAGAGGTGACCCGACGCCAAACAGGCACGCATGACTGCTGTGGCGCATGATGCCTCTACGTTGTTCCGCCCCGCCAAGAGGATATGCATAACTGTTCGTCCATCCTCTTTTTTCTCGGTGTTAAATGGCAAGTAGAATGGAACGGAACGTCGCACACTCACCCGCGAAAGTCGAAGCGCCTTATTTTTGTCTACCCTATCACGACGACCGGGTTTGAACCCACGCCTAATCGCCTGATGACCACTTCGAAGTATTATCCAAGTTTTCGATTGATATCTACGGGGTTGCCTGGGACAGGAGGTGTGGCCGAACACTCCGTTCGTTCGGTATTCCGGAGGCCACCAACATCTGAAAGGGGGGAGGGAAGGAAGGGCGCAAATGCAAGGACCTTGCTCCATGCTCTCTTACCCGGGTCAACAACATCGATGTTTGTTGTCATGTTCTTCTGTACGTTCTGCTCGCAGGTTAGCGTGTTTCACGAGGGGCTAAAAGCAAGCAGCGAACGCGTGGAAGGTAGAACACACGACGCATGCATGTGGTTTAATAGGTGTCGTCAACACCCGTAATTCATCGATTGATGTCTCAAAGAACCGCTTTTGGCACAAGGTCAAACCTGGAGAGAAAAGAGGTGCGCGTCAAGTCTCAAAACCGCCGAAAGACATCACTGACGTCCAAGGAACACAAGCAAGCACAGACATGCCACAAGCAGGCGCAGGGCACGTACAGCGGTCGCGGAAAGTGGAATGGTCCAGGCTCGCTTCACACGAGAAATCAAGTAGGCATGTAGAGGTTGACATCCTCAATCGATCTAGACACAACATCAGATGGGGTAAGTTTCGGCGCTGACCAAACAAAGGTACCCCAACCCAAAATAGGCCCCAAAACTAACCCATCTCATCCCAGCACTAAATGTAGTCAGGTACTTACTCAGCAGCAGCTGGCTCCAGCGGGGTGGGTTACAACGCCCCGAGATTTATACGATCAACATACATACACAAATTAGCGTGCTATGTACGCAGAACGAGTTAATTCGGACGATTGGATAGAAGTATAGACAGAGATGGATTCGTTGGGTCATATTCAGAAAAAAAAAACAAAAAAATAGCGACTACTGTGGTCATATACAAATCCGTGGCCCCGCACATCACCACGAATGGATCCATGATGCAGCTCGTCATACTCTCTCGCAGAGCCGGAACAGATGCTTTCCAACATGCCCAAATTTTCATACGAAATATTACCTTACTAAATAGCCCGTTCTGCTCAAGCAACAAAACACTCAAGTCCTGACGAGTAATCACATATTTCATATTTCCGAGCATATGAAGAGCATTCAATTGGCCAAAAACGACAAGCGGGTGCTTGCCGGAGCAAAGGAGAAAAAAACGAGCAAAAGAAGAGCAGAAGGGACAGACAAAGCCTAGCGTGCGGGGTAGAAGACCCGACGCTCGAACGCGAGGTCTTGCTCTTGATCTCACGCTCGACACACCCCCTTGCCCTCAGCTTCCTATGAAAAACCATTGTCACCCATCACCTACCTACCCACCCACCCACCCACCCACCCCGGCAAAACAAAATGCTTCATCCCTAGCGCCCGCAACAACGATCAAGGTCGCTGCAGCAAACAAAGGAAAGCCCTGCCACTGTCACTGTCGGGGGGGGCAGCAGCGCAGCTCGCGTTCAGCCCAAAACAAGAGGAAAGTATACACAGAGAGAGAGAGAGAGAGAGAGAGAGAGAGAGAGAGAGAGAGAGAGGCTGGGCCAAATAGAATCAAGAGTACAGGAGAAGGTCGTCCACGTTCTTGCCGAGCTTCGCCTCCAGCACGGACTCCGTGACCTCCCACAGCCGGGGCGGGTTAGCGGGATCCAGCGCCAGCTCCGAAGGCGTCTCCTCCTTCATGTTGCCCCAGTACTTGCCGGAGAACTCGGGGCCGGCCAGGGACGGGTCGACCGCGCACCGGATGGTGGTTAGCGCTCCGGTGAGAGGGGTAGCCAGGATGAATCTGGACAGGGGTGCGGTCAGCCGGGTCACGCGAGACATCAGGCTCGAGTCTGTCATGTTCCGCATGAGCTCCGTGTTCACGATGCCCGGGTGGCACGCGTAGGTGCTGATGCCCCGGGCCTCCAGGCGCTTGGCGAACTCCTTGGCGTCCAGGATGTTGGCGAGCTTGGACCGCCCGTAGGCCATCCAGCTGTTGTACGTGTCCGGCTTCTCGTAGTTGACGTTGTCGAAGTCCAGGGTGACCTTGGCCTGGCCGGGGGGTTGCCTGTGCCCCAGGGACGACAGGAAGATCACTCGACCGCCGTCGTTCATCAAGGGCTCCATCAGCCTCGTCAGCAGGTGCCCGCCGAAGTGGTTCACGCCGATCTGCATCTCGAGGCCGTCCACGGTCTCTCGCCGCTCGGGGATGGCCATGATCCCGGCGTTGTTGATGAGGACGTCGACCTTGGTGCCCGAGGCCTTGAACCTCTGGGCGAAGGCGATCACGGACTGCAGGGACCCCAGGTCCAGGACCTCCAACCGCACGTCGACGTCGGTCAGCCCCTCGAGAAGGTCCACGCCCTGGGGGGAGGTACACGAATGCGACAAGCGGGCAGGAGAGAGCTTGAAAGCGTTGTGGGGGAAAATACGTATCGCTTCGCTCAGTTGTACGGCAAACAAGAGAAAGGTGACACCATAAGGCGGGGGTGCATTCGCGATATAGATACAATACAGGGTACACCGTGCGGCTCGCTTCTTCTTTTATCCTGTCGACACCATCGACTTGTATCTGCCATGAAAATGCGCGTCGTGTTTAATACAGTCGTGATCCCGGTTTAGCGGTTCCCCGTTTAGCGGGATGCCCTGAATGGCAGTTATGAAATCTCGTGACACGGCTGCACCGCGGTTCAGCGGTTGTATTAAACCGATCGTTCCCCGAAAAGCGGTCGTTGGGCATGTTTTCAACCACCAATAGCGGCCATTGGTCCAAATGTTGCTGAGACCCAACGCGCGCCTCGCTTGCGCACACTCACAGCACACAGCGACATTGGTCAGCCGGTTACCGGTTGATGCTCGTAATACAAAGCACACAGCGAGACACACGCACACAGTTTATTGGTTACGTGTCCAAAGATTTTACCCACCATACCGGACACTGGCACTATACGGGGCACCCGGCACTATTCGACCGGCACTATTTAGGGCCCGCTACTGTATCAAGAGTACCTTTCGTCGCTGCTCTTGTTGGGGCGAAAATTGGCTTTTTCCCGGTTTAGCGGCTCACAACCGCCAAAGAGGTTCAGCAGCGATGCCCTGAATAGTGGTCATACAATTTCGTGACACCATGGACCGCTAAACCGGTACCACGACTGTGTGGAGGATCGAGTGTTTTCCGAAAGCGAAATCGACAGTCGAAAGCGTGGACGGGAGCACCAAGTTGCGTGCCAGCTGCTTGCCAGACTCTCTGAACGTCGGAGATTTCGCTACTCGCTACGTTGGCAAGTAAGCTGGCACCCAGCACAGCGCCGCATACTTTCGTTGAGCGAGATATTCTCAAAAATTGAGAGACAGAGAGGCCATCGACACAATCGAAACGAAATTCTTTCTCTGCCAACGGCATCGGCTTCGGCTTTCCTGCATCACACCGGATTTTCGATTTCAATGCATGCACTATGGGCGTTTATTTGTAAAAGAATAGGGCAACTCCAAACCTAAAATCGAATTCGAATTCGATTTGGAATTCTGTGGTGACCCCCACCCTCCCACGGGTCAGTGGGACAACATTTGGCAATGCTCAAGATAACACCCAAAATCGCCCACCAAGAACAAATTAACTTATGTAGAATCCATGTACACGCAGCAGCTTGCCACGAGAGGATTGACTATCTATCTTTCGTCGCGCTTCCTTCTGCCGAGAGGCACGAAAGGGCTCGTCGTTAAATTACTTGTACGTGGGTCCTCTTGGGACTCCCGCGCCAGCAGAAAGATGCAACAACAGCGGATATCTAGCATACGAAGTACATACAAAAATAAAGAACACGTGGACGTTGCGGGCAAAAAGCGGGAAAAAATCGCCGCTCGAGAAGAAATCCCCCCGAGAGCCTCCCCAAGCCCAAGTCCCGACGGGGGAGGGCCTTGAAGTCGATGCACAGCAGCAGCAGTTAGTTGTGACACGATCTGTTTTCGAAAAGGGGCACACACACACACACACACACAGCAGCAGACACACAAACGGCAGGCGGTTTGACACGCTTCGCGCAAATGACGTCGCAGCAGCACCCACCTCTTTGACGGGCTTCTCCAGAGCCTCCGCCTTCATCTTGTCGATCGCCTGTTGCCCCCTCTCGGCGCTGCGGCACGCCAGGGTGACCGCCGCCCCCATCTTGGCGAGCTCACGCGTGGTGGCATACCCCAGTCCGGTGTTGGCACCGGTCACGACGAAGTGCTTTCCGCGGAGGTCCTGGCAGACTGACTTCGCCTTGCAGTTGGTGGAATGCGCGGAGCCCATGGTGGTGGTACGGAGAAGAGAGAGCAGATGCCTATGTGCTGCGCTTGGCCGCGTGTTCGTATGGAAACTGCTGCAAGGAGCATCAAGTTGCAATGCGAAATGACTTGAGATTGAGTGCCGCGCGCGTTGTGCGGATTAGGTGGTGGTAAAAGTATCAGAACTATGAAAAATAAAGACAAGCACAGGAACACTACCCGTACGAGATATGCATAAACCACACAGCAGTCGAAATCTAAATCTACTGCTGGTTGCCTACGGCCTACGGCTCTTTTTGTAGGCGTATGAAGTAGAACTCGTTGCCGTTGCTGCTCTCTCATCTCATGATCTGGTCCGATACCGGTTTGTCAGAACTTGATATTCCTGTCCACACTCACAAGTAAAGTAGGAGGGAATTCCTCGAGCCGAAGGGTGGGGTCAACGGGGTCGGCAGCCGGCAGCAGCAGCAGCAGCAGCAGTGGCAACAAGCGGCAGGGCGGCTCGCACACAGGCCGAGAGTGGGAGAATAGAGGGCGCTGGAGGAATTGACCGCCCGAACCCATGCTCGGCCAATCAGAGGGCGAAAGGCTGGGAAAAAAATACTGAGAAACAGAGGAGCAGAGGGCAGAGTTCCTCTGTCATGAAAACACGCTTTTCCACTGCAACTCCCGATTGATTCCGCCGCGTTCGTTCCCGTAGGGCTCTCTCTTTCTCGGGCGGTCGTGTTGTCCCGTTATCACTACACAGCATTCCCCACCACGGAAGGCGAACAGGAGAGGATGGATAATGAGTGAGTACCTCTCGGGCATGAGCCGCTTCGTGCGTTCGGCGAGGTTCCGGGGGATATAAAATTTGTTTGTTGTCTACCCCTCTACTGAATACGGCGGCGAATGCAACCGGAAAACAACCTGCCCCACGTGTTGCGGTAGTCTGTCTCATGAGTGCAAGGCGGGCCTTGTCTCTCCCCTCTCTTCTGTGTTTGTTCTGATCTCCATGTAATGCAGCTGTTGCTTCCAGTGACGTAGTGCCCCGCCCTAGTTGTGTTGGTGATTGTTGTATATCTCCCCCGCCGCAACTATTAGGACTCCTCCAGAAAAATCCTAGGTCTTTCCGCTTTCCGCCTTCCGCCCCTCTTCATTTTATTCTCGAGCCGGCGAGAGAGCGGGTACAGCAGTATTAAGTGTGCCTGTGACTGAATCGTAGCGAGCACGACCGGGCCACTCTCATGCCCCTCTTACCCTCTGCCTGTACGGGTTTCGCTGGTACTGGTGCGATTCACTCCCGGTGGCCGGGAGAGAGAAAGCTCTGGGTGACGACTCGATCGATGCCTGTCTTGACTTTTGACGGGCCCCGCATCTGAATCTTCCCTTGTCCTCTCTGAGAAACCTGCGTCTCGGTGCAAGATGGCGTCTTGATCCGTATGCAAACATGCATGCGTAGCATACAACGTTTGTGAAGCACGTATTGTAGATATGTTGTATCAGTTGTTGCGTGAGAAAATACGTCTGATGCGACGCCGCTCCGTTTTCACTTCACGAGCACGAGGAAGGCGAATACGCAGCAAGCACACTAAAGAATTTCCGCATGTAATGTATGTTGAATGCGGCGGACAGCAGTCAACACGCCTGTTCACTAGACACTGCCATATCGTATGTGACGGAGTGTTGGAATGGTAAGTGCGATTTTTGCCCGAAACAAGCGTGTACCATTTTCTCTTGGATTTTGCTGCGGCTTTTCTCGCGCCCATCAGGACCGCACCGAAACATCGACACGTTTGTCCGATTCAAACGTTTTCAAGCAACCAACACTCTTTTTTTTGCCTGCCGAACTTTTAACCGCTGTTGTTGTCGCATCAATGTCACGTTACCGGGGGCAGGTTCGGCGACGACGATGGGCTGCGGCAGGCACGCAGCCGTCGGCGGTTTCAGACAGGCCTCGTGATTTTTCTGCTGTTCTTCTTCATGGACGCCAGGACGCCGCAGGAGACGCAAAACCGAGGCAAACGCGCAGCACAGGTGTGTTTTGTCGTGCAGTTGACATCGACCGCGCTACCTCCGGCTGAGGTGTGTGTGCGTGTGTTTTTTAGCATCGACCGCGCTAACCGACTGACCAATGAAAAGACGTCAGTCTCAGTGCGGCGCTCAAAACACTTCTAAATGCCATTAGCTGGGACCCCGTGAGGGGGCGGCATGGGGGAGGCTAAGCTATTCTCCGGATCAAAGACAGAAACGGTAGCAACAGAAGAAAACTTCACGTGTCGATGAAGGCTGCTACCTTGCACTCTAGTTCGTTTTGGAGTGCTGTGCTTTCATCGTCATCCTCCTTCCTTCCAACTCCATCGTTCTCACTATCGTTTTCACGGCAACTTTTCGACATTTCTTCTCTGGCCCTGAGTCGGTTGTGATGGAGAAGGTCATCTGGTTCGAAGCTCTTGCTCTCTTCCACGATATTATTCCCTCCTCGACTGCTGTTTTGGTCTCTGTCTTGTCCTCCTCCCGTTCCCTCTCCTCCTCCTTCATCGCTGCCAAACGAATTCCCCTCATTGCCATCCTGGTCGTTTCTATCTGCACTACCGAGTGTCTACCGAGTGTTTTGTGTGTGTGTTTTTCGTTAGTTAACATCGACCGCGCTAACCGGCTGACCAATGAAAAGAAGACGTCCGTCTTGCAGCGGGATAAAAAGCGCGAACACGGTTTCGATTCAAAGGGTAAGGGTTCTACCGACGGGGAGGCGGGCGCAGAATTTTGATGGCAAAGTGCTGCCTCTGCTGAAGTACGTACCCGTGTGTGTGCACATCATGCACCAATTTGTCCGCCAGACACGCAACAGATGTAGTGTGGGGTTCCTCCATCTAGACACCAACGCTCCCTTGTTTTGTTTAGGCTCGATAGGGACGTGTATCTAACTCCCTACCTGCTCTTTCTCCCGCTTGCGGTCGTGTTGCTTTTTTTCTCGCGCTTGCCGGTTGCGAAACAACAAACAGGCGAGGACAAGTGCCAAGAACCAGGAGGTCACGCGAACGACCGTGCATAGATTAGCGGAAGGCCTCCTCGATCACATCGTTCCGCAGGGCCCCACCTACGCCCTCAGAAGCTCCTCCGAGATCAAAGGTTTGCGGCTGGCTGACCTATCGCCCGACGAACATGACAATGCTGTTCGTGTCTTCTGTTTGTTTCTCGTTGCTGGTTGGCTTTCTCTCCGTTGTAAGCTTGTCGATGTGGTTTTTCTGTGACTCCTCTTCATTGTTGTTGTTGTTGTTGTTGTTGTTGTTGTTGTTGTTGTTGTTGTCGTTGTTGTTGTCTTCACATTTAAAGCTGTTCCGTGGTCTCCTCTCAGTACCTTCCAGTATCCGTACTGGTCCAGCTGAAGCAGACGCCTTCCATGGTCGCAAGCCAACTACCCAAAGAGGGTTACACCTTTCTGGAACGAAAATGGCATGCTTTTTCTTGTTTAACTCCGTCCGCAGGGGAATGGCGGCTATCGGATGCCGAGAGCTTTCGGACAGTGGTTCCTGCCATGAAGGCTGCCGACCCGTCAGAGGTGAAAGAGAAAGCACAAAGCAGTCAGCAGTTTTGCAGCAACAACGGCGGATGGTGGATGCATGTCGTCTTCGATAGTGTTTTGTCTTGGCCATGAAAAGCTCTTTTTTTATATTTGCGCAATTCTGCGATAATTATAATTGTAGCGTTGTCCGTAGCGTCTCATCCTGTAGCAGCAGCATCACGACATGGGATGGGTAAACCCGCGGCCCTTTCTCCCCTCCTCATAATAGTTTGGCCCCGCTATGGTCGAAGTTTGAATAGAATAACACAAGCAACAAGTTCGGCACGAAGGGTGTTGGGAATGTGATCTAACGCTGGCGATGCCTCCCATGCAGTCGGAGAAGGAATAGGAGCTCTCCACCCCACGAAAGAATCCGCGGCCAGTAGCCACGTCATTAAGACAAACAAACAACTACACTAAACCCCCTCCTCCTTTCTCCCAACTTTTCCCAAGATATGTCTTGTAGCTGAGAGGCACCTAGACCACGGAATTGACGTACGAACTACCGCCGCCTCACCTTTTGTTTCTCTTCTTCTGTTTGGCACCCAGGGAAGCGGGTCGAAGCATCGCCTGGACTTGAGGGACGAGACAATAGCCCCTTCCGACACCGAGACCGCGCACTCCTCTCACTCACGCATGGTGCGAACACCGGGGCGGTGGCCCAGTCAAGTCAGTTGCACGCTTCCCTTGCGATTTTTGCATCAACGTTTCCCGCATGAACGCTAACATGTTTTGTGTGTGTGTGCGTGTGTTATTTTTTGTCAGCATCAACCGCGGTGTACGACTGACCAACGAGAAGACGTCCGTCTCACAGCGTGACAGCCAGTCACCTCTGTGTGTGTGTGTTTGAGGGCTTGCTGCCTCGTCGCAGCCGTCGCTCCCCTCTTTTTCTTGACGATATACGTACTTACGTACCTTCTCTTTGCCTCTCTCTGTTTTCGCTGTCGTTGGTGCACGCTGCTGATGTTGTTCTTGTTGGTTTTGGTGGTGACGGTTTTGTTGTCTTGCCTGCTGATGGTGGTGGTGGTGCTGCTGCTACTGGTGGTGGTGGTGGTGGTGCTGCTGCTGCTGCTGCTGCTGCTGCAGATGGCTTCCCTAGTCCAGGCGAAGGGGAACCCGGAGGTCAGCATCGTCCACGGAACGCTGAACGTCGGGGATGCGGCCACCAAAAGCAGCGGCGTTGACACCCTCTTCGAAGGTGAACGTACATGAAGCGCACTGTTGTAGGCGTGTGATGGTCGTTTTTATTTCTGCCAACGGACATATTGTGCTACGTATTTAGATGAGAGCGGGATGTCCATATCCTTGCTTTTTTTTTTACGTTTTGTTTCGCACCGCCATGCGGAGTAGGTGGAACAGTCGGAGGCAGAACAGAGCGGAGGGGGGAGAGAGAGAGCATCCTGTCGGAGAGTGTTGCAGGAATCAAAGTTGTCCTGTAGCGTGCACCATGGCCGCTTCGTGCGAGTATGGATGGGGTAGGTCGTGTAGGGATCTCAACCCCGCCAGTACACGAGAGGAGTTGAACTGCTAGCGGACGGTTTTGGTGTGCCTCGCTTGAGCAAGGTACTCCAGGTACAACACCTCCTGCGTTACGACTTATCCAGGAACAAAAGAAGCTGCTGCTGGTTCTTTTGCTTCTGGAGACTACGGGCTCGCTGAAATATCGAAACAGTGATGGATATTTTTTTCAGCCTTGATCACAACATGATGTATCTATGACGCACGAAAAACACGACAAAAAAAAACAGGACTTTTCTTCCACAAGTACGGCCACATGTCCGCCGTCGTCGGAGCGTCGGGAGACGAGCTCAAGGTGGTCTGGACCCCCCCCCCCGCCAGCAGCATCGCCGCAGCTTCCCCGGGAGTGGTGGCGGAGGAGGCCGCACCTCCTTCAGCAGCGGCGGCGGCAGCGCCGTCACCGCCCAAGGTCGAACCGCTCGAGGACAACTCCGTTGGCAGCGGCGGCGGCGGCGACCGATTAACCTCCGGGATCAATGAGGCCGACAAGGGCGGCGAGAGCAGCAAGAGCACCGCCACCGCTGCTGTTGTGTCTGCTGCGTCAAGCAGCCGCAGCAGCGGCAGCAGCGGCAGCAGCGGTGACGCCGACGGCGGGAGCACCAACCCCGTGGTGGTTCCGACCGCCACCGGCCCTCCTCCGGCTGAGGAGGAGGCGGGAACGGAAGACGGCGGGGAGGGCGGTGGAGACGAAGCTGTGAAGGAGGAGGAGGAGGAGGAAGAGGAGGAAGAGCGGGGGGGGGGCGACACAAGAGGGCGGCGGGCCCTCGGGGATGGCGATCGTGTTTCGGAGGAGGGGGGAGGTGAGCGCGTCGACGGAGGGTGGGAGAACGGCAGCAGCCTTGAGCGGCGGGGCGGGGGACTGGGCTCTACAGAGCAGGCAGCAACAGTCGCGAGGTCAATGGGTGGCTGGTTGTGGAGGGAGAAGGAGGGGGATGGGGAGGAGAGGGGGGTGGGTGAGGATGGAGCGGGTGTTGGCGAGGGGCGGCGACGGGCCCTGGACGGGTCTGAGAGACCGGGCGACTTGGTGAGGTGAGACCACTCGGTCAGTTGCTCGTGTTACGGTAGGACGGGATTGCGCAGTGGCAGCGTGCGGATGATTGATCCTGGATTAGGTGAAAGAGAGGGGTCTATCTCTCTCTCTCTCTCTCTCTCTCTCTCTCTCTCTCTCTCTCTCTCTCTCTGGACGTTTTGTAGATGGGATGCTGGTAGGCACACGTTCGATCGCCGCTCAAATGGCGGCCGCAGACGGTCTTAAAAGCAGTCAGGCTTTGCTCCCCCGTCATGGGTGATGGGTGGGGCTCGTGGCTGGGATGCCTGAGCCGGTGTGCACATGTCTGCCTACTGGTCCCTCCGAGTGGAATGGGACCCCCCCGGGATACAAAGACGAAAACAGCCTTGCGCGCATGGAGGTGGAGGAAGTCTGGCGCAGCTGTGGAGTTGTAGCACACACGCTGCCGTCGTCGCTGGCTGTTGGTCCAGCCCCGTCTTGCCGACGAAGCGACTTCGGCTAGCGGCGTTGTCCGGCTTTTCGAGGAGTAATTTTTAAACTTCTCCATGGCTGCAATATCCCCTCCACTTCTTCTGGCGTTTCGGTTCGCGGTGCAGAGTCCGGGTTCAATCGTTTTCGAGAGCACTCCGAAACAGAGCACATCCTGCCGGACATCCCTCAAGAGTTGATCGCCGTTCATGATCGGGGTTGTGCCCCCGAGGGTTGATTTGACTGTGACGACTTGTTGGTCGATTGCCGTGCGGGAAGAGCCACACTCTTGTCTGCTGGCCAATATCATCAGGGTACACCGAAAAGTGGTATCCCTGTATACAAGACCGCATAGACAAGGCCGCTCGTATTATGGTTGAAGATCACTTTGAGTCGTGCCCGAGAGTCCTCCGGTGTGCGGCAAGACAAGCCAAATCCCTTGGGCCTACTACGCGGCCTTTGTGCGGGGACCAACTACTGCTGTGCTAGCCAAACGTGTGCCGTGCTACCGTCGGTGCTGTCGAGGTGGTCCCGCTGCCAGCACAAGAGATTGGGCATCAAAGCGGCCTCCCCCCCCCCAGCGGCATTGAGACCCTCACATATCCTCCCGCCCGTGTGTGTTGCAACCCGCGATGTTATCGTCACCACCGCTGTCCTTCCGTCGAAATGAAGACACCAATTGACCCCGCAGCGGCAGGAAGGGGACGAGGAAGAGGCACCTCGCCACCAAAAGCAGACCGTCGCGGGATCTAGACCGTCGCTGCTGGCGCGACATCTCGACGATGGGGCGGGGGCGGCGGGGGCGGCGGCCGAAGCAGAGCTGGACGCTCCCGTGACGGAAGAAGAAGCCAGAGAAGGAGCGGATGAAGAAGAGGCGGGGGAGGCGGTGGCGGCGTTGACGCGGGAATTCCCGGCGATGGTGGTGCCGAAGGTGGCGGTGGCGACGGACGGTCAGGAGTCCGGCCCTCTGCCGTCGCAGTGGTACAACCTTCGCAAGGAGTACGGCCAGGGCTGCCTCTTCTTGTTGACCCTGCAGGTGCATTTTTGTTGGTTTTTCGTTTTTCGTGTGGGGCCGTGTGTGGTGTGTGGCCCACCGCCTGGTGTCGTTTTTTTGTCGCTCTTTTGTCTAGTGCGTTTTGTGGCGAGTGCTGCTGGCTGCTGCTCGAGGACCGTGTCTCGGCGAATGGCCGGATGCCTGGCTTGGAACCGTTTTGGGACTATCGTTCCGTGGGTCGTATGCCGTTGGTCGTTTTGTCGGGATATAGAGAAGGTGCTTCTTTTTGAGGCATTTTGTTTTTCCATCGCCCAAGCTGACGTACGCGTTTCTAGTTCGCGGGTTAGAAGAATACCGCATCTGTTTTTGTGTAGTTTGTTCATCTATTGACCTCGTGTGATCTCCTCCCCCCTCCCCTCCCCTCCCCCGGCCCCTTGGCCTTTTTCGACTAGTGACCACCCACAACAGCTGGCATTGCGTGTCATTTGTAATTCATCATATACCGTTTTCGCGTGGCGTCTCTCTCTCTCTCTCGCTCTCTCTCAGTCCACCTCTCAATCACGCTGTCTGTCTGTCTGTCTGTCTGTCTCTCCCCCCTGTCTCTCTATGTGTGTATGTGCGTTTTTTTTTTATCGTAGACCGTGGAAGAAGACAAAGGTTGGGATGACGATGGCATAATCGGCGCGGTGGGGGAGGAGGGCGGCGACGAAGCGGCTAACGCACGCAAGCCGCTAGCGGACCTCATGAGGGGGGAGATGGTGGGGGTAAACTGTGACTTCTCGGCCGTCATCGAAGTCCAGGTATTTTTTTTTTATTGTGTGTCCTTGTCGTTGTTGTCGTGGTTGTTTGTTGAGCTTCTTTGTTATTGTTCGTTTTCTGTTGTGGTTGTTGCTGTTGGCGCTGTTGCTGTCGTTGTCAGGAGTCGTCGCTGTTGCTGTTCATGATGCCCTGACGGTCAGCCCCCATTCTAACCTCCCAAGTACTTGTTCCCGCAAGATAATTCACGCTGTACGCACGCAAGGGGTTCGCACAGACCTCGCTCCCTCTCGGGTTTACGGCAAAAGCGCTGCCAGCTGCAAACGGGCTGGAAACAGAGAAATGCAGTTTTCCTTCTCGCGTATGTTGTTGGTGTGTGCGCGTGATTCGCTCGCACTACGGTTGCCTGTCTGGTTTGTTTGTATTATTTTTTGTTCCCGGGAAACACACTAAGACGTACCATATCCGCAGAGGCCACTCGAGATACTATAATCCCTCCTGGACCGATAGGCCAGCTCTCGGTTTGCCCCCTCTCCTCACCCAAACAATGGAAACTGTCAACAACCGCCCCCGCCCCCCCCCCACGTACCGGATTTCCATGCGTGGTCCATCGTCATGGGGTGGCTGCACAACGATCCCCACTCACTCCCTTTGTTGCCTGCTGTGTGTGCGTGTGTTTGTGCGTGTGTTTGTGCGTGTTCAACAACAGCTGTCGCCGAGCACACTCCGGACGGCCCAGTCGCAGGCCGTCAACTACTCGGTGGTGTTCACCATGGTCTGCCTCCTGCAGATGTGCCTCCTCTGCTGCCGGGTATGTATGTGTTGTGTTTTTTTCTGCGCCTTTGACGGAACGTTAGTGCGCGGTACTAGCGTACTGTATGCTAGTGTTCCTCTCTCTCTCTCTCTCTCTCTCTCTCTCTCTCTCTCTCGCTCTCTCGCTCTCTCTCTGTGTAGATGCCCTGTCATTCCGTACAACCGTCCGTACGCAGCCGCGGCTTGTGGCGACACACGCCCTCTTGCCCATAGACTTCCTTCTCAGGGCAATCCTGCTACAGCCAGCAAGCAGTCGGTCGTGTGGACCTGCCGTGGGGACGACGCTGCGCTGCCGTTGCTTGCTCACCTGGGTCTTTGTCGTTGTTGAACACTGTCACGCCCCCACGTCGTCTCTTGCCGCGCTTTGGATGGTCCATCAGGTTGGCCTGATGCTGGCGCAAAGGCGGTACGGGCGCAACTTCATGGTGCCCCAGCGATTCCAACCCCCTAAGTTCGACTACCACCGGCCCATTCCGCCCGAGCTGGTGGAGCAGGTGCGATGCGATGTCCTTTCGCTTCTGTTTCATATTTGTAGTTTTTCCGTTTAGAGCGTTTTTCCAAGATGCGGCCATTGTTTTGTTATGGTGTAGGGTATTTCGAAGTCTCCCAGCTCGCATCGCCCGCGTTGCACCTGTAGCTGGTGGTGGTGGTGGTGGTGGTGGGGGTGGAAGCAACGGCTTCGAAGAACGAGTTGGTCCGAGACACAAGAGATGAGTGTTTTGAAAGTCTCGGGGAGACGTGTGTTGAAAGCCTCGGGGAGACACGGAAGTATTGCATTTGCATGGAGGAGAAGGAGGAGGAGGAGGAGGAACGTGTGCGCGGTGAACGTACGTGTGTTCCGTCTTTGCTGGTACTTGTTTCGCGCCAGACCAGGTACGGTATAGAGTAGAGGAAGCGTGTTCTGCCGGGGAAGGGGCTTCGACCTCCACCTACCTGTGTTGTTTCTCACGAGCACGATTACCACGGTGCGACTCTTGTGTGGTGTGGTTGGTGGGTGCCGAAACGACGAAACAATTTCGCGGTGCCCCCAGTCCGCCGTCACGCTCGGCGCATGGTTCAATGATGCCAAGGCGGTCGTTCGTACACGAACAATCCGAATGGAGGGCACGAACGCACAAGAGTGTTAGCCCAAAGACTAGCAGAGGGCCTTTTCGTTCGAGCGGCGAGGGCGCAAGACGCGCCGCTTAACAGACAACAACAACAGCAACAATAACAACAACAATAACAACAACAGGATTCGTCAACTACCGACAACCACCAGTCGACCCCAATTTTGCTCGTAACAACACTGCTGTACAACCGTCGCTGTCACGCCTTTCTGTTGTGGCTGCCGGTGCTGCTGCTGCTGTTGCTGGTGGTGGTGCTATACATCCGCATCAGGCGCAGACGGAAACTGCGGGGGGACAGCCTAGCGAGGAGAGCCGAGACCTCGAGGCCGGAAACTGCTTAGAGTGAGTCCGAGTCTGTGTCAAGCTACGTTACCAGAGCTAAAACCGTGCACAGCAGCGGTATCGCACCGCTCCGTCTTACATGCCACCTCTCACGGTACATGTCGCCGTGCTGTGCCTGCCTGCCTGCCTGCCTGCCTTTGTTTGACCGCTGGTGTTGAGGGGCGCGGTACGCATGCGATGCGTCGGTTAGCCAGAGAGCAATGGAATGTGTGTGCTGCTGCTGTTGTTTGTCGGCTCGGTTTTTAGGCAAGGCATTTGGCCTGCGCCGCCAATTGACGCCGTACAGCCGTGGTCGTCTTCCGCCGAATTTTTCTGTGGGTAGATCCATCAGTGTTAGTTATCCTTTTGATGCTATTGTTTTTGTTGTTTGTCAAGGAGGGAAGAGCTGCGGCGGCAGGCAGGGAGTCGAGAGGAGATTGTAGGCGGCAGCGCTCTTACCAAACAAAACGAGCGCCGAGCTAATCCGCTGCCTAGTGGACGTGTCAAACCATTGTTAGGAAAAAAAACACACACACACACACACAGAAAGACTACCCATTCGAGATACACCCACAGCAGCAGTCGAACGGGATGTGGTGGAGTCTTTTCAGTGAGTGGAGGAAAACCGGCTGGGTACTGGACTTATTTCGAGTCTTTTTAAGTCTATACACTGATGATTTATATCAGTGATACCAGCTGGTGCATTGTCTATGAGTAGGTTGCTTTTGTATCTTGTATGGTTTGCATTGCTTCGTGTGCTTTTTCATGCGTGCGCACTCAAGGGTTTGATCCACTCGATCCACTCATTTGGACGGACCCCCTTCCTCCCCCTCCCCCCCCCCCCCGAGTATGCATAGCGTGGCGACTACCTCTAGAGCGTCTATATAGACGTTGATGGTTGATGATTTGCTCGGAAAGTTTCTCCGACGAAAGGAAGGGGGATGATCCGAATCAAAATTGTGTGGCCGACCACCCGGTCGTCACAAAAGTCGAAAATGAATTGAAACCGTCAAGACGTACAACCTCCCCCTTAACCCCCGAGCTCTACTCAGAATGATGGAGCGTGTCGGCTCTTGGTATTGACGACGCGAGAGGGGCTGCAGCATCGGCGGTCAACGGACATTTTCTGAAACAACTGCGCCCCCCCCCCCCCCCCAACGCCCCCCCTTTCCCGGGGGACCAACTGCTACCCGGCCCGGGAACCCGAAATCCGGGAACACATGGCCCCCCCCGGGGAACCCCTGTTTCCCCCGGGGAGGCTGGAACCGGGGAAGGGAATCCAAAACCCCTGTCCCAACTGGAGGGCAAAACTACCCCCCGGGCTTTAAAAAAAAAAAGGGTTAAATGGGCCCCGAAAACTTTAAGAAGGGGGGGGGGCCAAAAAATTTTGTTTCCATTGGGCTCCTGGCCAATTTTCTGAAAGGCCAACCCGGGGGG